GTACCCCACTACTCCCTCCAAGGCACCACTTGTGGGACTGGTTCTGTTGTTTGGGGATACTTCCCTGTTTGGGCTTCTCAAGACTGTTTCTGAGCACTGAGCTCAGTCATTCTGCCCTATTCAGTTTCTTCCTGCTACTTGTCCTGCTAGCTACTGGGTTCAATGGAAGTAGGGAATGAGGAGCCCACTTTCTCTGCCCTCTCTGATCTGTATTACCCCCAAGCAAAATGGTCTCTGTGCCAGAGATTCTCTTGATTTGTTAGGTTCACTTTAATTCTCATGGTTGGCATCTGCCCAATTCATGTGTTGGTTTCATCCCCAAACTCAAGGATCTAAGTTCTGATTTCTGAGTCCACACCAGTCTCGTGGAGGTATTTCCAACTTGGGCTCCTTGTAGAGGGCTGGCAGATGATGACTTTCCCCCACCAGTTTGTTGGGACTGATAGCACCTGGGTCAGCCCAGGGGGGTGCTGCCCTTTGGTCCCTGGATTCCCCAAGCCAAGATTTTCCCAGCACTCTCAATCATTTCCAACCTTATGTATTTTCTCCTTTTCCACCCAGATCACCTACAGTTCTGTTCCTTAGCCTAATCTGATGTACCCCGAATTTTCCAGTCTTCAAGGCTCTCTGTCCAATATTGAATATCAGTGGAGTGTTTCTGGTTTTGTTTTTGTTTTTTCACTTACCTCCCAAAGAAGTAGTTTCCCTTCTGTTTGAGTCCCAAGTTCTATAACTATAGAGCTGTGAGAAAAGCCACATCTCACTAATCTGCCATCCTGCTTTCCTCCAGATAATAGATTTCATTTAGAGATACAAATGTGGGTATCATTACAATTCAGATAAAAATTAAAGCTCTGTCAGCAGATAAGATTACCAAGAGAAAGGAGCATAACTACAGGCAAGAAGACAATTAAGGCCTTACCATAAGAATCTTCCAAAATAAGAGGTTGAAAAGTAAGATAAACCCATTCTCAAGATTGAGGAGTTTGGGCTGGGGTTGTAGCTCAGTGGTAGAGTGCTTGCCTAGCATGTGTGAGGCACTGGGTTCGATTCTCAGCACTGCATATAAATAAAGTTCCATTAGCAAATAAAAAATATTTTTTAAAAAAGAAAATGCAGATCTCAGATTAAAAAAAAGATTGAAGAATCTGCAATGAAAGAGATAGAAATAAAAAGAGATCCTGGAAGCCAAATAATGAAAGTATAAAAGGAGAACACAGAGCCAATTGCAACCAAGTCTACTGAAAGCTCAGATAACATGAAGACTAAGAATTACCACGATGAGCTATGTTATTGAATGAATAATATAAAATCTGAGAAGACAGAGCATATTCATTGTTTTTAGTTATTTGTCATTTGGTATAAATTAAAACCATCAGAGAGAATTTGTAAAGAAACCAGAAGAGATTGTCCAAAAAGAATGGGTTCAACCATGGTTAACCAGATCTCACAGCCAGCAATGCCACTGGAATCTAATAACCTTCTTCTCTAGGATTCAGACCTTGAACAATTCACTCACTCTCACTAGGTCCATTTATTTTCACTTCCAAAATAAGGATAGGAATTGTATGAGCCCTCACATTCCTGCCCCTCAATATTTTTATGATTTAAACATAACACCCATAATCCTACCTCCCCCACAAATTACTTTCTTTCTTTAAATATCATCTTCTATTTCTTGTTAAAATACATAAAATGTGTGCATGCATAAAATGTATGGGTGCATAAAATACACATATCATACACATAAGTGCACCGCTTTTAAAAACAAGAATTACATGTGTGCATTGTTATTCCCTTGGTATGTTAAGTAAGCAAAGAAAACGAGGCAGGAGAAATGTGTCTGACAGGCTCATTTCTTTTGCCTATCATCTGTTCACCTTCAGATGATATACAACTTCTGAATTATGATAAAATATATTAAATTTTCCAGGGCTACAAATTTACTAACAAGAAAATATGGCTTATTTACTTCTCTGTGAATACATTGAGCTTTCTCAGATGCCTCCAGCTTTGGTTAGTAAATAAAGAAAAATCCCTAATATTAGTTTGAAATAGCAAATTTAATCCATACAATACTTTATATAGTCAATGGGGGTGCACATTCAATGTCACTTATAGCTTTTTTTTTTGAGTAAAGTATGAATCCTTAGTGTTTTGGCAATCCCCAATCCTTCTCTCCAAGAGGGCACTTGGTAGGAAGCTGTATGCATGGTTCATGAGATGTCTTGGTAGCAAGAAAGTGATGGTCTCTTCAGATCATCAAGATATTATTTTGCATCTTTCCTGGTCATGAACCTTTTTGCATCCAACCTGAATGCCAGTCGCAAAGCCAGTCCTGGGCAATTCTAAATATGAAACACATGACTGTTGATGTCCAGGTTATGGACCTTTCTCACTATTAGCTGCCAAAATGTGCAACTTGTTAATCATTAATACTTCCTCTGTCTCAGTGTGGTGGAGCCAAGTAACCCCACATGATGATTTAGCCTCACCTTACTCTCACTGGAGCTGAAGAGTCCCTCTGAGGTCTAACTGTGTCCCCCACACAGTTCTAGTCAATGTGGTCTACCTGTATCCCTTGATTATTGCAATACCTTTTCCCTGTCATGATATGAACAACTCCATCTGGCAAGTTCCCCCACCAAGTTCTTGGCCAAAGTGTAAAACCCTTGATCAGGATCAGACAGGAAATTTGAGGTCCCATTCATGCTACTTAGGGATTGAGGTTAATTCAAGGGATTTTTATTCAAGACCTCTCTCTGCCTAATCTTGCTGCCTTACTGAACTCTGTAGCTATTTCCAGAGTCCTAAAAAATGATCTGAAGCAGAAGCCATTGTACCCTCTGTCTACTTTCAAAAAGGATTTTTAACAAAGTTTTTCTGCCCCATCTTGACCCTAAAGGGAAGTTAAATAAACTCTGATTGCATGATCCCTTTACCTCTTTCTCCTTTCATGTGTGAATTCTCCTTGGGGACCAGTGCATCTTGCATTGGTTAGCCCTCCTTCCTTCTGTTTGAAATGGTCGGGTAGACTACGTCTGTTCTTTATATGATAAAAAAAAGTCAGTAAACAAATTTACAAATACTCTTCTCCACAAAATCTGGATGTCGACTATTTTGTTGTTGCATAAATTCTACATTGTGAGCCAAACGATGACTCTTTCTCTGCACTTTCACTCTAACAGTGTTAAATTCCACCCCTGCCACCCACGACCAGGCAGTGAATGCTCAGTTTAATGGGGGAGAAAATTCTATGGAGAATTGGAGAAGTGAAAAATACCACAGTGTCTTTCAAAGACTACTCCTGTTGCAAAAGAAAAAAACATGCATTTTCCTTTACGTTAGTCAGCTTTTTGTCACTGTGACTAAAATTCCCAACAAGAACAACATAGAGGAGGAAAAGTTTATTCTGAGGCTCAGGGTGTCAGAGGTCTCAGTCCACAGACAGCTGACTCCATTGCTTCGGGGCCAAGGTGAGGCAGAAGGGCAAGGGCCAGAAAAGATGCTCACCTGATGGCAGCCAGGAAGAGAGAGAATGAGGGAAGAGGTGAGGGGTCACAGGAAAGATGAATCCTTCCAGGGCACACCCCAGTAACCCACCTCTTCTGACACAGCCCACCTACTTGCCATCGCCACCCACTCAGTCCATTCAAACTAGGAACGGACTGATTAGGTTACATCTTTCATAGTCCAATCATTTCACTTCTGAACTGTATAAAATCATTTCACTTTTTTGCCATATATAACCCAAAGCTTTGGGGAGAAACCCCTCATATCCAAATCATAACACCCTTTTTAAAAAGCCTATATAATATTTCAAAAAGTATTCAAGAAATGGAGACCGTCTTGTTCCAAATAACTTGAGAACTTCCTCAGGAATTACCAGAGAGTTCAGTGGTTCAAGGATTTTTGATTGAATAATACCACATGGGGGAGCTGTATGTTCTTAGACTCAAAGTTTGATAAAGTACCTATTCATGTGGTGACAACGTGCGTTGATTGGCTAGGATTCTCCCATATGTTTTATACAAAAATGGAATTGATAAACCATTTTTTTCACAAAATTATTGTCTCAAAATTGTTCTGTTCATGATGTATTCAAAATATTTTCCTCAGCTTTTGAAATTTTTTTAAAAATCATAATCATTATTAGAATAGTCTTAAAGTAGAAATTGGGAATATAGCTTTATCATGATTGATATTCTATGTTATATTGAATGTTAGATGTTATCAATTTGTTATAATGCTCCATTATTTTATTATATACCACTAAGGAAGGAAAACTCCTTGAATTAATGCCATCAATTATAGGACACATCTAAATTTCAGAGATGTTATAATATGGAAAAATATGCATTTAAGATCGAAATGGGGTAGTAGATTTGCTGGAATCCTTTACTGAATACTTACCACGTGCCAGGCCCTGTGGTCAGTGCTTTTACTAATCAAGAAATCTTATCCTCATATTATAGACATGGTTCCTGAGGTTCACAGAAATTAAATGATCTGCCAAAAATATTTAGAACTAACAGAGCAGAGCTAGAATACACACCTAGATCTTAATGACTCTAGAGCCCACACCCTTACCTAAATTTAATGTTAGATTTATCAAACCTTTCTGCTTTTGGCTTAAAATTCCAACTTTTGGTGGTCTTTTATTGATACAGTAACAGTAATTTGTACAATCTTTTAAAAATTATTTTTCGTTGTCAGTTTCTAAATAACTTGTTAGAAAATTTAAGTTAATGTACTAATTTAATGGTCCATCAGAAAATTCTATTTTTCTGTCTGGAAATCTTCATATAGAAGGAAACTTTTTGATGTTTTATAGTATAACACTATTAAAACAAAACTCAATTTAAAAAAATATTTTATTATGGAAATCCTCGAAAATATACAAAAATAAAGACAAAGTATGATTAAGCCCCCCCCAAAAAAAATACCACATGGATTGTTGATTAAGAACATTTAAAAGGGAATCTATGTTTACTTTACAGGGAACCAGGGAGGAGGGATACACAGACCCTGCTATGGCTGCTCAGGATGCAATGGTAACTAGATCCAGCCCTCCAACAAGCTCTAAAGAACCTTTGTTCTGATGGTCTGAGCTGATTCTGATGCTCCTTCCTGACTCTGGGTTCCAGGTCCTGTGGGAAGCGTGTCAGCAGAAAACTGGAGAACATAAAACCATGCTACAGGTGATCCTGTGCAACAAGAGCTACCAGCAGCTGTGGCTGGGTAATTAGAAATCAGGCTTCTTTACAGCTACTTAACTGATTATATAATACAAAGCAAGTAGTTAAGTAGAAAAAAAAAGAGAGAGAAAATGTTGCATAGAAATAGAGGAAAATTGGCTATCACAAAGACAATTATTTTGGATTATAAGTTATACATATATGCCTCATTTAATGGCATTACTAAGAAAAAAGTTTTCCCCATAATTTTATTTTCCTAATAAATGAATTTTATAACTTCCAAATATTGAATCTCTTGAAAATTATCACTGTTTTAGAGCTGTATTAGCTATTTGCTACTGGGTATGTTGTCTATATGTTATCTTGAAAAGTGAACATAGTTTAATCAGCGCATCATGAGTCAGGTTCATTACTGATATCATGATTTATGCAAAAGAGGTAGCATCGTATTGGTTTTAGAGGTAATTCATATTCATTTGCACTTTGTTTGAGTTTCTTCAAACTATTGTACTTTTCTTTTTCCCCCTATTAAAAAATTATGTAAAACACAAAAGTCATTAAAAATTTTTTAAAGATGACCTACCCTAATTGAACTCCCATCTTTATATTTTCTAATGTCAATTATTTATATATAAATACAATAAGACTATACCTCCTTGCTTCTAGTTTGCTATAAAAAAAATGGAGAACTAAAAGTTTCTTGGGATAAAACCACATAAGTAAATTCCTAAATAAGAAGCTTAATTAAGCATAATTTTGCTAATAATGCTTATCAAAAGGTGATTTCATATTTCTCAGAATATTATTTTTTATGCTTATTTTTTAGTTGTAGTTGGACACAATATCTTTAATTAACTTATTTATTTTTATGTGGTGCTGAGGATGGAACCCAGGGCCTCATGCATGCTAGGTGAGCGCTCTACAGCTGAGCCACAACTCTAATATTCTTTATAGGTCTTATGATCACTATTTTAATTATCACTCAGGATTTTTACAATAATTTTTCATATTTAAGCTCTAGCAGAAAATTTACTGTTGAAATAAATCTGATTTATTTCTATGTATGTCCTAAACAAATGGCTCATAAATAATGTCTGGTCTTGTGTTTCCTCTGAATTTAAATCAGCAGTGAGTCAGTGAGTCCTACTAGAGATGGCAGTTGTTCCCCAGGAGGACAGAGCAAAAGCAAGTCTTTGAAGATTTATACCAACTCCACTAACTTTTAGAGTATTGTATTTATTTCAAAGCATAGAAATCAATATGACTGATGGTAGTATTTTCAATTATTTTAGAGAAAATACCTTCAGTATGTAAAACAATCTAATCAATATCTATATTTAAGTTTGGAATATTTACAAAATTTCCTTTGAATTACATCAATTTTTTTTGAAGTTTTCCAGGAATTTCAAAATATTTCTGGGCAAGATATGGTAGATGCCATTAATAATTGCTATGATGGATACTTTAAGGAGCTGTTGGTGGCAATTGGTAAGTAATAATTTATTGGGTGCCCAGCAGACCTTCTATTTTACAGCAAATGCTCACTGGCTCTGACTGAATTGAAGCTCTTTATTGAGTCATTTTCCCGCTGAATGCAACTATTTAAAAGGGTTGTGAACTCTGTAGAAGGAACGTATATCAGTTACTGATACAGGGCCCTAAGCTGGAGGCCTAATGGCATTAATAAACTGACATCTTCCCCTAAAGGCTGGTTCAGGTTTCATACCGGGAAGCAGAGTGATCTGATGTTTTCTATCAGGAATGACGGTTTTCATACTGTTAAGTTCATTTTGTATTTATTGACTTCCATTCCTTTGTCCAAGAGCAGATAAATGTGGCTTCCTTTCCTCCCAGAAGGAAGAGGGGTTTGTAGTTGTTGTTGTTGTTGTTCTTTTGTTTTGGAGGTATTTTTGTTTGTTTGTTTTGGGGGAGCATGAGTGTGTGAGAGAGAACGAGAGACTTTCCAGTATATTCACCTTTAGGAGTCAGTCCTACCATAAAAGAGACTTACCAAGTTGTTACTCAGTGGTGAATTCTACAAGTTCCTATGAGACAGACACATCTCCCAGGCCTTCCTAAGGAATGAGATCTCCATAGAAGAAAAAACAGTGGTAGTCATTTGTAAAGCTACTATGGAACTACTCACGCTTTATCTTGTGCTGCACTTGAACTTGAGAACACCCAATCCCAGACCTATAAATGAAAAGTCATTGTGAAATATTCCCCCAGTAGTTATTTATCTAGTGAGCACTTGGATAATTGTTGAATAAGTGAATATTGAGATTTCCATCCTTGTCTTGGTCCAGTTTTTAGAGGGGATGCTTTCAGTTTTTCTCCATTTAGGATGATATTGGCCTTGGGCTTAGCATAGTTTACAAGGTTGAGATATCCCTGCACCCAGCCATCACAGTCTAGCAGCCACTCCAGAGTAATCACAAAGGACTATGGGTGTAGCTTAGTGGGACAGTACTTGCGTAGCATGTCTGATACCCTGATGCCATTCCTAGCGCTTTGAGGGAAAAAATGATTATCAGGTTCACTTTTCTTCAAAGTAAAAATAATAAAAGATAAGGTTATGTTCTCACAATCGAAAACAATTACTTGAATTAATTTGTTATGATGATTTTATTTTGGCTAGAAGTTATAGTCTCATACATTATTCATTTATTTATTAGTCTATTAATCAAATAAATAATACTGAATGGCTAAAATCAACAGTGCACATTCATCAGGCTCTAGGTCTTCCAAAACTATGACCATTTCAATTTGATGACATGTAAACTGGCCAGGCCTGTTATCATCCTTACTGTTTCTTCTTAAAAGACTTTGATATACAATCAGTCAACAAATACATGAAAAAATATTCAACATCTTTAGTAATTAGAGAAATGAAAATTCAAACTACTCTAAAATTTCATCTCATTCCAGTCAGAATGTCAGTTATCAAGAATACAAGCAATAATAAGTGTTGGTGAGGATGTAGGTAAAAGGCACATTCATACATTGCTGGTTGGACTGTAAATTGGAGCAACCAATTTGGAAAGCACTATGGAGGTTCCTTAGAAAACTTGGAATGGAACCACCTTTTGACTCAGCTATCCCACTCCTGGGTCTATACCCTAAAGAACTTGAAAACAGCATACTACAGTGACACAGACACTTCAGTGTTTATAGCAGCACAATTCACAATTGTTTAACTGTGGAAGCAACCTAGATGCCCTTCAATCTCAAAAAATCCAGGGGCCGAATGTTTTCTCTGATAAGTTGATGCTGATCCAAATGGAAGAGCATGGGATGAGTAGAGGAACTTTGGATGTGGCAAAGGGGAGGGGAAGAGGAGGCAAGGGCTAAGAAAAATGATGGAATGAGATGGATACCATTACCGTAGGTACATGTATGATTGCACAAATAGTGTGACTCTACTTCATGCACAACCAGAGAAGTGAAAAATTCTGTTCCATTTGTGTACAATGAATCAAAGAGCTTTGTACTGTCATGTATAATTGATTAGAACTGATAAATAAATAAATAAATAAAACTTCAGAGCTTCCCAGGAATCTATAAGGAATATAAATGAAGCCTCTTAATGAGAAACCACGTGGACCATAACTATAATTTACTTTGAAAAGTCATATAAATGCATAGCCTTCAGAATGAATCACATGTGGTCTTTGTTACATTAAATCCTTTGATAATAAAAAATCAATAATAGTGGTGATAACCTAGGGCTTTTTGAAGCACTGTTTAATTTTCAGTTGAAGAAGATAAATTTTTCTTCATCAGTTAGAGGAAGAAGCTGACCAAGTTCCAAGAGATAGATAAAATGAAAATCTGAGTGGATCATTAGAATATTGTTGCTGTATATTTTTTTGATGAGCTATAACATTGCTATTACTCTGTGTGGATACTATAACACAATGTGAAGATTGTAACATGAAAAAACATGCTCATCTTATTTCATGAATTCTTAAGAAATCATGTCTCTTCACTAACATTACTTTTCTAATTTCTCCCAGTTCTCTGCGTTCGAGACAAACCAGCCTATTTTGCTTATAGATTATATAGTGCAATACATGTAAGTAAGACCTGCATATTTTAAAACTTTCTTCAGATATAGTATCTGTTTTTCTTGATTTTTCTTCCATTATTTAAATATTGACTCATATTTCCCTCTTGTATTTAAATACATAAATTTCAAAGAAATATGCCCAAATGGAAATAATGTGCTATACACCAAAAGGAGGACCCATTGTGTAAAAATAATGCTTTCCACATCAAATTTAGATACCTAAGTAATACTGTTCTTTGGAGTCTCTGTCCTTCATGTGCTTTAGAGTTTCTTGGCATTTAAAGAAAGTGGTAAATCCAAATGCTTTTGTATATATCCATAGACCCACTACCTCATACTTACGCGAGTATAAAACATATGACATCATAACAAAATGTTAAATCATTATAAACTCTCAGCAAAAAATAGCTATAATTTTGAAGTTTAAAAACACAAAATAATGTTAGTGATTATCTTAAAGCATGAAGTATTAGCTTTTCAAAAATTATTTAGATAACTAGCAAACAATAAACTCTAAAGTTATTCTTATAATTAAATGGGAATGTTTCATGCTTTAATGTGATATTCAATCACACATCCTTTGTTGCAATCATGTTTGAGGAAAGTAAGTGCATCAGGTAGTGTACATTTTATCCATAATGTGTATGAAGCATATTTTTAAAAAGAAAGGGTCTCATAAATGTCACTCTACATATTTCATAGCCTTGAAAACTTGATGAAAATTATTACAAAACAAGCTGATATTACAATAAATTTAATAATCAGGGTGTTTTATCTTTGAAGTAATTTTTACAGGCCAACTTCTTGGAAAAAGCCAGTGCACAGGACAGATATGTTAATACCAAGAATATTTAACTATATATCTCATGCCTAAAGTTTGTTTTACTGATGCATGAGGAAAATCTATACCAGTTCAGAATATAGGCGAAAGATCAATGCTCACAGTCCTCTGCTTCTCTCTGACCCTGTTCCAAGGAGAAATTTGATTTGATTAAAATGAATCTATTTGACATAACACATTTGGGAATTCTGCAAGGTGATTTCAGCAGGCCCTTTCTCAAAGAACCAACTGCTACAAAAACAAAATCAATTCTTACTTGTAAATGATCCTGGAAAAGTAGAAGCAATTACTCTCAGTCTGACTATGTTCAAATTCAGGGACACTTACTTCAGTGATAACTAAAACTATATCTTTGCTCAGTGTGTTACCAGAGGTGAAAGAAGGTATCTGTATTCACAAATGGTTTGGAGGTAAAGAGGAAGGGTGTGTATTCTAGTAATCCATTTTTTTTTATACATGAGGACCTCAAGTGTCAAAAAACTCTTTTCATCACCTTTTTCCCCCAAGCACTCTGAAGTATCTACAATTTAAAATAGGAAATTTTGTTAAACATTCATCTTAGTCACCTCTAATTATTAAAAAAAAAAAAAATCATTAGATCTACATCTAAAACATTCACATCAAAAATCAGATTACACTTAGTGGCCACCAGATGTCATCATAAGTCCATTTTTTAAAAAAAGTCTGACCCCCCCCCCCCCCACCCACCCACACACACACACACACACACACACA